AAAGCCAAAAACTCGTGTTTAACGTGGCTGTGTCCCTGCTGTGGGCTCACAGCTGTAATCCCAAGTGCCATTTCCAGGAGGCCTTCTTCTGAAGGGAATTTTTCAGCTCCCTCCACTTCATCCCCCTCCAGCTCTTTCAGACAATAAGCTTTGCTTTTCATTTTTTTTCATCAAGCCAGAGCAAACAGCTTCTAAACTAATGGGCAGCCCTCTTACAGGAGGAAGTGGGATAAAATGTCTTTTCCAAAGGAAAAAAATGAGGTTCACGTACTCGGAATGCACTGTAATGCAGTGGGTGAGACTGTCGCAGCAAGACTGAGTGCTGCATCCCTAAAGTTTGCTGGCCTCTTCAATCCACGCATCCATCAGTGTCTGGAAATAAAGCAACAACCAACAGGTCATAAAGGAAGTAGGAAAAAGTATGGATTTGTTATCAAAGAAAAGCTTTCTAGGAAGGTTGGAACAGATTGACTTCATCGCAGGTTGGTGAGGAAAAGTTTGGGAATAAAAGCATGTTTTCCTTGAGAGTGCCAGTCATTCTATGCTCCCAAACACTGGGACCCTCCAAGGAAACTGTCTCAGGATTGGGAGCTGGCTTAAAGATTTCTTTTACTGAAGGAGAACATTGCTTGTGCAATGCTGTGGCCAGAATAGTTCACTCGCATGCCAAAATTGCAATGGAGTCCACTTGACGTAGGGTTTATCAGTGCTGCAACAGCCAACAAGTCAACAAAATCAATTAACAGAACCAGCGATGGAACTGACAGTGACTGTGAAGTGTAAACGATGGCAATTTACTTGCAAGTTAGTCAGCTCCCCTTGGTTGTTAGCTCTGTTTTGACTCAAGCACACACGCTTGCGCGTTTTCAGCATTTTTCCTTCCTCACGTAGAACAGCAGTGCTGTAGAACAGTACAGACCCCAGACCCCATCTCTTACATTAGCAAATATTGCTGGAGTGTGATGCTTCCAAAGGCAGAGCTCGAGGAGCTCTTCTGAGCCCACATCTGTGGCTCTAAATTACGTTCTTTAACAGGCATGCAGTGGCAAAGCTTAAGCTTTTCCCTCTTCTTCGAGTACCGCACAGAAGTTGAGCATTTAGACCTGCACTTGCAACCCTTTCATCTGTCAGTGAGACATCTTTGCTCACTTGAGTGGTTTTGCAATGAGCTAATACCCCACAGCGGTATAAAACAGGAGTGTTTGGCTCAATCTAAGGCAGAGGTAGGAATTACAGTTAGCCACAAGGCCATGGCTTCCTTTCCCAAAGGCTGCAGCACGCCAAAACATGAGAAAAGGCTACTAAATGATCTCGGTCGTGAACTACAGTTAGACCCTCTCCGCAAGGACGCCATCCCTTGTGTCTCAAATTGGGCGCGAAGCGTGCCAACATGGGAACGTGGTGCCACACAACAGAGGAAGCCTCCAACTACGTTTGGAATCTTAGAATCGTTAAGGTTGGAAAAGACCTTGGAGATCCCCAAATCCAACCCCAACCCGTCCCTCCTGCCTGCTGACCGCATCCCTCAGTGCCGCACTTCCGTGGTTCTTGAACATCTCCAGGGCTGCTGACCTCCCCACTCCCTGGGTGGCCATGCCAATGCATTATCACTCCCTGAGAATAAATTGTTCCCAATATCCAACCTCTTTCCCTGGTTTTGAGCTTATTTCATGCCAGCTGGCATAAGATATCTTTCCAGTAACTCTCCTTGGCTTGCACTGTTACGCAGACAGAGGTTTTTCAACATTTACCTTGGGTGATAAAGGTGATGCCGTCATCTTCCAAACTGTGCAGACAGATGGCATTGGCTTTTCTGTGGTTAAACATGCAAACGATGCTTTCCCAGGGCATCAGCAAATTACACAGGGCCCAATGTGACGCTGAGATCTGCAGGACTGCTCCAGCGTGACCAAAGCTCCAAGAAGTCACCACCCTCCCCAGGTTCAACTTGCAAATACTTAGTCAAAATAATCCACCCAAGCCTTATTAATTAGCAAAGCAATTACTTTAAGCCCGAAAGGGATGATTATTTCTCTCATGCTCAGCCCCCATCCGTGTCATTTTCCTCCTTTTCACGTTGAATGCTGATGTGGGTGAGGAAGTGTTGCACTTAACCTGTCAGAGCTGATGGAAATCAAACGTGAAATGGAAACCTCATCCCTGGTTTTCCTTAGAAATTGTGTAAAATGAGGCCAAACCCCCCTGACCAGCACAGGCTGGAAATCTGCAGGGACTTTTAATACCATCATTAATAAATTAACACGGGATTTGCTGATTTGGAGGCTTATCTGCGTGCAAGTAACTGATATTATTTCCTAAGCAAAGTCACTGTTTCAAGAAAGTCCCTCGATTTCATGAACAATTTCATCGTCCCAATTATGGTATTCTTCTTTTCACACCTCTGGGCTAAAAACTGGGAGGAAAACCCAATCAACAAAGCAACCCCAGAACCAACAAAACAAGACCAAATTTCATCCCAGAAATCAAGTTTTGACCTTTCAAAGTGAAGGTGGTAATTTCAAAAGCAACGCGCACACAGACTGTAATGAACCAGGAGCCAGGAGGTGAATAAAACTGATACAACAGGTCCCAAATGACCACGTTTAAGCCTCCTGATCTCAACAATTACTCTCCTCATTGGGGACAGCCAGGTACAGGAGTCAAACTCTGGGATCACGGTGCTTGAGACTTCAGCTGGAGGTATCAAGGTTTATCGGGCACCCAGACACAGGATGACCCCATTGGGTGAAAGCTTTGGGAAGAGTCCCCCACCCGTTAATGATGGGATGGAGTTTGTTGCCTCTGTTTTTCAGTCCCAAGAGGTGTTTTGGGAAATGGCAGACCATGAGCAGAGAGATGGTGGAGGACGGAAGAGCACGGCTTGTGCACGGATGGTCATTGAACTCTAGAAGACACGACTCCTTTATTCATTTTTTGTTATTTTATTTTTTAATGGGTTCAACCATGCATGCTAAGTACAACGCTGGTACAACATACTCCAATGTAGCATCGATATTTCACGGTCTCCAGTGATAGAGGTGAATGAAGACGCCCTCCAATGGGGAAGGTCTTCCTGCTGAGGACATCCTCACCAGCACCCACGGCCCTGCTGGAGGCCGCATGGGGCCACGTGGAGGACAGGACAGGAGTTTCCAGTGCTTCAGCCCTTGGGCTGGTGGGAACTGGCATTTCCAGTGCTGCAGTGCGCTGGGGACAGGCGTTCCCAGTGCTGCTGTTGGGGCAGTGGGGCGGGCGTTCCTGGCGGAGCGGTGAGGTGGCAAATCCTGGTGTGCTGGTGGAACGATGGGGATGAGTGTTTCAAGCGTGGCCACCTACACTGGGCAAGTGTTCCCAGTGCTGCAGGGCACCGTGGGCACCGGTGGTCCCTGTAGGGTGTGGGGACAGGACTGGAGAACCCAGTGTTGCGTGGTATGTGGACGTGGTAGAGGGGTGGTGGGGATGGACCTCCTGCCCGGGATGGAGGTTGTGTGGGTGGAATGGGATCAAAGTGGGTGCTGCAGAGAGGGCTGCATCTGGCTTTGGTGTGCTGGTGTTAGTGTTGGCATGATGCGGGATGGGTCAATATAATATGAAGTGGGTTGGTGTGATGGGGGGTGGGTTGGTGGGCTGTGGGTTGGGTAGCATGGCGTGGGGTGAGTTGGCATCATGTAGGGTGGGCTGGCATGACACAGGGTGAGTTGGTGTAATGTGGTGTGGGTTATTTTGTTGTAGGATGGGTTGGCATGATGTAGGATGGGTCAGTGTAATGTAGGGTGGTTTGGTGTGTTGTAGGGTTAGTTGGCATGATGTAGGATGGATCAACGTAATGTGGGGTGGGCTGATGTGCTGTGGGGTGCATTGGTATGTTGTGGGGTGGGCTGGCATGATGTCAGGTGGGTTGGTATGATGTAGGGTGGGTTGGTACTATGTAGGGTGGGTCAATGTAATGTTGGGTGGTTTGGTGTGTTGTAAGGTGGGTTGGCACAATGTGGGATGAATTGGCATGATGTAGGATGGGTCGGTGTAATGTGGGGTGGGTTGGTGTGTTGTAGGGTGGGTTGGCACAACATGGGATGAATTGGCCTGGTATAGGATGGGTCGATGTAATGTGGGGTGGGTTGGTGTGTTGTAAGGTGGGTTGGCACAATGTGGGATGAATTGGCGTGATGTAGGATGGGTCAGTGTAATGTGGGGTGGGTGGTGTGCTGTGG